CAGAAACGTAATCAAACCTAGATCTAGGTTTTCTTTTACGGAGAGGAGCACCCGAAAAAAGTGAAAACTAGATCTAGGTCTTCCACTTTTGCCGAGAGCAACTCTTGGAAAATGACACGAGGGTCGAGCGCCACTCTCGGTAATATCATTGTGCAGGGCCTAGCATGCCGCAAGGACATTACAAAGGATTTCCCATCCCGCTACTGGGCATGATTTCATGTGTCGCCTTGCTGATCTGCAATTTTCGGCAATGAAACCTTAGCAAAGCAATAAATTTCTCAAATATTGCACATGTGCCCGCAAAATGCGGGGGCGTGGCATGTGTCATGCGATTGCCTCCTTTGAGAGCACGAGAAGTTTCGAGGCCAACGTAGTAACAGGACCCGCACTTCCTGCACAAACCAGACATGTTCCCTCTTGATACCCAGAGACTAGCTCGGAGACGGTGCGGTTTACAAGCGTCCTCAAGGGAGGCTTATTCGAAAGGCGCCCAAACTTTTACCACACCCTACAGGGGCCATGTGATGACATCATGCCAGCTCTCAAGGAATTTCGGTGTCGTACGATTTTTCAAGGATTTCAACGGTTGCATCAAGCATGCCACCGAGGTACTCTCGGTAACTCGGTGGTAGGTCATGCCCCTCCCTCGTTTGTGCAGGGCCTAGACATGCCACAAGGACATCACAAAGGATTTTCCATGCCGTTACCGAGAAAGTTTGATCGGCCGCCTTGCTGATCTGCAATTTCCAGCGATGAAACCCTAGTAGAGCAATAAATTTCTCGAATATTGCACGTGAAGGAAATATGGCCTAGAGGCAATAATAAAGTTGTTATTTTATATTTACTTATTCATGATAAATGTTTATTATTCATGCTAGAATTGTATTGATCGGAAACCTAAATACATGCGTGAATACATAAACAAACACCGTGTCCCTAGTGAGCCTCTACTTGACTAGCTCGTTGATCGAAGATGGTTAAGGTTTCCTAACCATGGACACGAGTTTTCATTTGATAAAGGGATCACATCATTAGGAGAATGATGTGATGGATAAGATCCATCCGTTAGCTTAGCATTATGATTGTTCAGTTTTATTGTTATTGCTTTCTTCATGTCAAATACATATTCCTTCGACTATGAGATTATGAAACTCCCGGATACTGGAGGAATGTCTTGTGTGCTATCATACGTCACAACAAAACTGGGTGATTATAAAGACGCTCTACAGGTATCTCCGAAGGTGTTTGTAGAGTTGGCATAGATCAAGCTTAGGATTTGTCACTCCGAGTATCGGAGAGGTATCTCTGGGCCCTCTCGGTAATACACATCATAAGCTTGCAAGCAAATGACTAAGGAGTTAGTCACGAGGTGATGTATTACGAAACGAGTAAAGAGACTTGCCGGTAATGAGATTGAACTAGGTATGAAGATATCGACGATCGAATCTCAGGCAAGTAACATACCGATGGCCAAAGGGAATTACGTATGTTGTCATAACAGTTCAACTGATAAAGATCTTCATAGAATATGTAGGAGCCAATATGGGCATCCAGGTTCCGCTATTATTTATTGACCAGAGAGGTGTCTCGGTCATGTCTACATAGTTCTCGAACCCGTAGGGTCCGCACGCTTAATGTTCGTTGATGATATAGTGTTATATGAGTTATATGATTTGGTGACCGAATGTTGTTCGGAGTCCCGGATGTGATCGCGGACATGACGAGGAGTCTTGAAATGGTCGAGGGGTAAAGATTGATATATAGGACAATGGTATTCGAACACCGAAAGTGTTTCGGAGAAAACCGGATAGTCATCGGAGTACCGGAAGGGGTACCGGACACCCCCGGGAGAGTATTGGGCCTATTGGGCCACAAGAGGGGAGCACACCAGCCCACAAGGGGCTGGCGCGTCCCCCATGGCAGCCGGCCAAGTGGGGAAGGAAAGGGGGGAGGATTCAGCCTCCCCTTCCTTCTCTCTTCCCCTCTTTCGTTTCTTCTCCGACAAATAAGGAAAGGGGGGCACCACTTGGGGAGGACCCCAAGTAGGATTCGACCTACTTGGAGCG